TAACAGTCTAACTCCAGAATATCTAACAAGAAAGAAAATATAGAAGGGCAATGTTTAACAACTGGAATAGAAAGGGACTTCTCGGTCTGCGGACATGGCAGATGTACCTCGAAGTCTCTAGAGCAGTCGCCTCCCTTAAGGATGGTAGGCCTGAGTAGTGGTACCTGAATCTACACATGAAAAACATGCGTAAAAGGGGCATGAGTACACCACAGCGGTACTCAGTAAGTGCCAAGCCTATACTCGGTTGTGTAGTGACGAGGAAGGTCAGGTCCCCACTGAGGTTAAATAAAATATAAAGATCAACAGTATAGAACAGAACAGTATAAATAAGTACAGCAGTAAAATAACACAGGATGTATAAGACAGCAACAACTATACAGAAGCAAGGTAAACACGGAAAAGAAATACAGCTCAGCACCAATAATAGCAATCGGGGATCTCCTAGGATACCGTCCTGGAGTCCCATATGTACATATCCAATGGATCTCCCGGGATCTTGTCCCGTAGTTCAACTCATAGTGCACGGGGATCTACGGTAATCCCGTTCCGTAGTCCCAAATGTAATTACCCAGTACTACAGAAATCTACCAGGTGCATTCCCGTAGTTCCATATAACTGTGCAGGGGGATCTACCGGAATCCCACATTCGTAGTCCCAAAATAAACAGACAAGGGGGAGCTAACGGAATCCCATATCCGTAGTCCCAAAATAAACAGACAAGGGGGAGCTACTGGATCCCACATCTGTAGTCCCAAAATAAATGCACAGCAGCAATAGGAAAATATACAGAAATGGCAAAACTACATATTAAGGCACCAAGTGATTCTAGCCTAACATGTTGCACCGAATTCAAGTAAGGCAAGTTGAGCAATTAAAGCAAATAAGTCACTTAGACATGCTTTTCTAAGCTAACAACAAGCTTAATAGTGCAAGTAATAGAAGCAGAAAAGGAAACATACTAGTAATTACTCAAGAAAATTAGATTTCCAACAATCAGCACAAGTATGCACTTGTCACCTCACGTACAAGGCATTTTAATTACCAAGTAAATCAATCCTAAGGGGAAGGTCCCCCACACAAGGTTAGACAAGCCACTTACCTCGATTTGGCTTTGTTATTTCCACTGAGATTTTTATGTTATGAGATGTATATGAGTGACAGTGATGATTGCTCAAGGGGCTGTTTATGACTTATGTTGCCCGATGGGCAATTTATGATTTATGTTGCCTGAGGGACTGGATGCGAGTAAGTTTTGCCCGAGGGGCTATTTCACCATTTTTACTCATTATTTTATCACTTGTTTTGAAAACTACTGAAAGATGTCTTAAATGGATTTTACACATCTTCAAATGATTTCCACCGAAAACTGAATTTTTGACAAAAGGGTTTGATTTATATACTGCTTGGGAAGCACATTGTACCTATTGTGGTGTTATGACGTGAATTATATGTTTTCTTACTGCTTAGCCTTTATTTACTTTTATTACTTACTGAGTTGGCATATTCACATTACTCTTTGCACCTTGTGTGCAGATCCAGGTATTTCTAAGCTCGGTGGCATGTTCATCGGAGTTAGCAATGTAGCTGCCTGGCGATCGCAACCTTGCTTTTCTCCCTTCTTATTCTCCCTTAGTGTATTTTGTGATTTTCCCGACCATGTTGGTCTTGAGGTTATCAGACAGTTGTAATAGATGCTCATGACTAGTGACACCCCGATGTTGGGCTTGTGTAATTATTCCGCACTTTTCTTTTAAGTTTTATTATGAGATTATTGGTTTATAAATGGTATAAAAATAACTTTATTTGGAAAATGATTGATTCGGGAGTTGTGTCGGTTGGCTTAGTTACACGATAGGAGCCATCTCGACCGGGTCGATTTTTGGGTCGTGACAATGTTTAACTCTTGCCAACCGTACCTGGGCAAAAGTTGTTGAAATTGATGCCTCGGATATTGGGTATGGTGGAATACTAAAAGAGTGTTCCCCAATAGATAAACAAGAATACCTTGTTCAATTTCATTTGGGAAAATGGAATAATTTCCAAAAGAATTATGCTACTGTAGCTAAAGAAATCCTTGCTATAGTAAAATGTGTTATAAAATTCGAGACTGATTTATATAATCAAAAGTTTTTAATAAAAATTGATTGCCAAGCAGCAAGATTCATCTTTAATAAAGATTTCAAACATGATGTTTCCAAACAAATGTTTGCAAGGTGGCAAGCATTGCTAGCCCCATTTAATTTTGAAATAGTCAACAAAAAAGGGTCGGATAATACTCTCTCCGATTTTCTTACTAGAGAATATTTGGACTCATAGTTCTTTATTTATTACAGATTATGAGGCCCGCATACAGACCTCCTCGAGGCAGAGGAAGAGGGAGGACATCTTCCTATGGCAGAGGGAATAATATTCTCTAAATTAAGGTCACAAATTATTGATAAATTTCCTACGAGTTCAGAGGTAGGAACAGAGGTAGAAGAAATTTCATCTCAAAAAGGGCCTTACACTATGTCTGAAATCAAAAGGCTTATTAAGAATAAGTCCCAGCCTGATAGAATGGCTACTGTCCAAGATTTAAGCATCGAGAGTAATCATCTCAAGAAAGAAGTCTCAGAGTTAAAGGCTTCTAATGTAGCCTTAGATGAAAGAATTTTCAAGCTAGAAAATTCTGACACTACTATTGACAAAGAACTCGGTACTAATAATACTGAGACAAATATTGGTACAGAAACATCTAAAGGCAAAACTGCTGGTAAATTACTAGCAGCAAATGATTATGCTGAGGATGAATTTTTACAGAAACTCCAGTATTTTACTATCTAAAAGTTTTTAATAAAAATTACTCTTTTAATTGATTATAATTTTAAAAGAGAGTTTACTGCTTTATTTGATAGTGGAGCAGATTTAAGTTGTATAAAAGAAGGAGTAATACCTTCTAGATATTTTTATAAAATCACTCATCGATTGAAAAATGCTAGTGGTGGTCAAATGGGTATTTCATATAAATTACCTAGGGCTTATATTTTGGTAGATCTAAAGTTACTACCAGAAGACCTATAAAATGGGATGAAGTGGTAGCTCCCCAAAACACTGGTAATACAGAGGTAACTGAAATAGAACAAACCTCGGATGGAACTGTTAAGATCAGGTTTAATGAACCGGGTAGTAACTTTAGATCTACCAAAATTAGTTTCTATAAAAATAGTCTCATTCTTGAAATCCATAATTTTGCACATAAGATTCAAAGTATATAAAGGCTTATAATAAATCCTATAACAAATGCATATTATCTTTGTACCAGGTAAATAATCATAACCATGCAATTTAATGCCAAGTATTAGAGGCATCGCAATGAGTATTGATTATAATAATTACTCATATGGAAAATTGTTCAGTGTATGCACCCAAGATTTATATATATATATATACGGATTTTGTCATGTTATCATATCAGCCATTGATTTTCATGTTATCATATCAACCGTTGATTTTATTGTAGTTGTCTTAGATAATTAATTGTGACAATATAGTTATGTGGTTGGAGTTAGAATGTTGGAGTGAATGTTTTGTGTTTAAATTTGGTTTTTGAGTCTAATAATGTTGTGACAATTTAGTTTTAAAGACTAATGATATTTTATGGTTTTATGATATGTTATGTATTTCTTTTAACTTTAAAATATATTTTTTTTTGCTTTGATAATGATTTACAGCTTAATTAGTGATTTTGTCAATAATATATGAATTCAAAAAATTTAATGAATTTGAGGTTATGACTGCAGGTGCTTTAAATATAAGCTAAAAAAAGTTTAAAAATTATATTGCGGAGGTTTCAAACCGCCGCAATTTACAATTGAAAATTATTTTAGAAAGATAAAAATTTTAGATTTGCGGGGGTCAACCGCCGCGAAGTAACCACCGCTACTTAGTTCTGGCGGTCAGCAAAAAACTGCCGCAAATTGATTGCGACGACTCTTATCGTGGGGTTTTAGCGACTGCCGTAACAACATATTGCGGGGGTTGTTAACCGCCGCAAACCTTAAAAATAACCCCGCAATTAGGCCCTTTTTTGTAGTGCGGTATCATTTATAAGTAACTTGACTTCACGTTGCAAAATAATTGTACAATATTAATGGACAAAAATTAAACTCTAAGACATATATTGTTGGTATTATGGTGTTAGATATCAGAAAATCAGAAAAAAAGAGAAAAATTAGTTTAATAAACAAAACGGAAAAATAATTTCGAGCCCACAACTTGCTTGTGTGTCCTTAAGGAATTTAATCCCGTCACGATTGTCCAAGGTTTGAGATTAATTCCTCTCAGGATATAACGGAATAACTATTCTGCAATACTAGCAATCAAAATTACAGAATTTCAGCGAACTCAACAGACGGAGCAAATCACACGTGACACTTATATTTATTTGAAAATAATGCAACAATATAGAAAAGATGGGAGAATTTTTCAGATTTTTTCATTTGAAACATGAGGCCAAAGCTCTAAATTTATAGACAAAGAAAGGGTGATATGGAGAGGTGCAATCCAAAAGGTACCTCTTCCATTTCTTACTCGCACCCAAAAAATGCAACATATATGTATGTATATAAGTAACTCTCTCAAATAGTTAACCAAACCAAAAAGAAGTGCAGTATTGCTTAAGACTTGAAAGCATAATGGTGGCATCGTCACTTGTTTCTTTGATTTCCAAGAAGATCATCAAACCCTCTATTCCGACTCCTCCTCTTAGAACTCACAAATTTTCTTTTGTCGATCAGGTTTTTCATTTTTCTATTCCTATGTCATTTTTCTACCCTAAAAATCGTAATGACAAGTCATATGAACCTACTCACGTATCTCAACTTGTTGAGAAATCTCTTTCTAAAGCACTATCATTCTATTATCCTTACGCTGGAGGACTAAAGGATAGTTCCTTTGTTGATTGTAACGACGTTGGGGTTGAGTTATCCCACGTTCGTGTCCATTGTCCCATGTCTGAAATTTTTAATCACCCTTACACTGATGCTGAACATGTAGTTTTTCCAGTAGTCCAACCTTACGGCCACAATGAAGGAAATTTAGCTATAACTCAGGTAAGTTATTTTTTGGTTTAACCATCTGGTATCCGGAGGCCATATATGTATGCAGTCAAAACTCTTTATAACAACACTTCTCTATAAAAGCCAAATATTTCCGAAACCAAATCTCATATTCTATTATAATATGTGTTTTCTATAACAGCAATTTACTATAACACCCAAAAATATTTGGAACAAATGAGACTGTTATGGAGAGGTTTGACTGTACTGACCCCACTAGTAGTGGCAAAATCGTTATAGAAAACAGTTAACCACCCATATTATCCACTAAAAATGGGTTGGATAATGAACTTTTTAAAACGGGTCAAATATAGATAAAAATCATATTATCCATTTAGAAAATGGATAACCAATGAGTTTAGCTTTTATATTTGTGAAGCCTCAAATTGGGGGTTCCTTAAGTTTGGGAGACTAAGAATTCTCCCAAAAGTGATCATATTCAAGAAGTCATGGAACCATATTATCTGTCGGTTAACCCGTTTTGTATCCGTATTAAATATGGATCTAGTCGGATAATTTATTCGTTTTTTTCATTACCCATTTTCGACCCGACCCGCCCGTTTGACACTCCTAAACCCGACTAATCCAGATTTTGATCAGGTAAGCCATTTTGATTGCGGAGGAACGGCAGTTGGTGGATGCTTATCGCACAAGATTGGAGATGGTTGCACCGCCAGTAGTTTCTTGTACAACTGGGGGGTTTTGAGCCGTGATATAAGTGCAAATTTATCTCGTCCTCATTTTGTTGAAGACTCCATCTACCCTCAATCTAGTGATCCCTCTATTCTGTCAAAGTCTATAAAGTCAGAAGAACCTGGATATCTAGGGAAAAGATTTATTTTTCCTGCTGCTAAAGTAAATGCACTCAAAGCCATATTTTCTATGGATTCAGGAGTATGCAATCCTACTCGAGCCGAAGTTGTGACCGCACTCCTTTATAAATGTGCTGTAGCTGCACGAAGAGCGAATTTTGGTTCATTTAGACCATCTTCCTTGTTTCAAGTGGCAGATATGCGCCAAAGGCTGAACCCATCTTTGTCACAAGATGCATCTGGAAATATTGTATCTGGATTTTTGGTGCCAATAACCAATGAAAGGGAAATGTATTGTCCAAGATTGGTTAGTGAAATGAGAAAGGAGAAAGAGAAACTTGTGGATAAAGATAATATTAACAAAAATGCATTTATCTCAAAAGTAATTGCTTCACTTGAAAAAGGGAAAAACAATGAATCTGATGATTATTATTGTAGCAGTTTGAATGCATTCCCGCATTATGAAACGGACTTTGGTTGAGGGAGGCCAGCTAAAGTGAGCATGGCAACTGGCCCCTTCAGTAAATTATTTTTTCTAATTGATAATCAAAGTGGAGGTGGAGTTGAAGCTATAGTCATGTTGGACGAACAAGACATGTCTATATTTGAAAGAGATCCTGAGCTTCTGGAGTTTGCTATTCCAGCTCCAAATCTTTAATTTAAAGCGTCTTCTCGTCAATCTAATTTTATACTACGTCTAATAAGTTGTGTTGTCTAAGGAAACTTGTGACTTTTGTTAAAGTATGTTTTATTTAATTCTTGTGTTGTTATGTTGTTCAAGTCCAGTTTGTTGAGACTTTGTGCCATGTACTGTTTTCTTTTGCTGCTTTACTTTTGGCTTTCTTTTTTCCTTTTATCCACTAAAAATGGATCGGATAATCAACTCTTTAAAAATGGATCAAATATGGGTAAGAACTATATTATCCATTTAGAAAATGGATAACCAATGAGTAACCAATGGATAAGTAAAAATGGCGTGTGGTAGCCACTAAATAAGGTGGTGTATATTTTTTATCCACCAATTCTAATGCTGAGCAAAAATAGCCACTATTCTATTAAAATTAATATGAAAAGACGTTTTTATCCTTTCTTCTATTTCTTTTATTCCCAAACCCTTCCTTTATACGCTTCAGAGCCAAAATTTCAGAAGCAAAATTTCGCTCCCTCTGTATCAGTCTCGTTCCGTGCATGCGAATCATTGTTCGATTTTGTTCCTGCCCAGCGATTCTCTGCGTGTATTTTGTTGCACTTAATCTCTTCTCCTTTGTCATCTTCTCTACATCGAGCCAACGAACTGGTATGTTTTTTATTTTGCTTTTATGCATTTTTCTTTTTGTATAACTGTAATGGCGATCAATACTGTGTTTGGCATCAAGTATGTGTGAAATTTCAAAATATTGAATATAACTTGATTCAGTGTGGAATAAGGAGCGGATTTTTGTAAGAAAGTTATTCTGAGCTTTTTTGTATTGAAATGTGTTTGTGGTTCAATCAATATATTTGATTATGTAAGGATATTTCATAACAATAGTCGTATGAATTCATAAGCTAACTGTGTTTATGAATTTTTAGTTAACTGTGCTTCTATAAAAGTTAAGGACCAAGGGTCCTTAACTTTTGACCTTGGAAGTCGAAGTTCAAGACCATGTGTCCTTAACTTTTGAACTTGAAACTTGAAGTTCAGGGCCAAGTGTCCTTAACTTTTGAACTTGGAACTCAAACTTTAGGACCAAGTGTCCTTAACTTTTTAACTTGGAACTCTAAGTTAAGGACCAAGTGTCCTTAACTTTTGAACTTTAAACTTGAAGTTCAGGACCAAGCGTCCTTAACTTTTGAACTTGTAAGTCCTTAACTTTAAGATGCATTTTACTTAGGTCCTGAATTTTAGTCCTTATGTTGTTTTTCCTTCTTTGTAGTGTGCTAATGGAAGGAGATCGTGTTTGAGTTTGATGTTTGGTGTAATTCGAATAGCTATTGGAAAGGAGATTTACAGTATAAGGAAACAATAAAAAGTTTCTTGTCGAATAGGCAATGGAAGAAGTTGAGGGATGGTATTTTCGGAAACTTTTTCTGATTACAAAATGTGATGTTCTATTTAAACTTATTCATTGTGTGTTGCTTTCATAAATTGTAAGCAATGACTATAATTCAATGAAATTCAAGGTTTTTGACCATGAAGTACAGTTTACACAGGATGTGTTTCATATAATTACTGGTTTAAAATGTTCTTCTTCAGTGGACTTCACAGTTTTGCGTGAAAAAGAGAATAGGCTTTCGAAAGTCTACTTCCCAGGAAAAGATAGAACTGAGTTAGGAGATTTGTTTAATTTTCTTACTAGTCACCCAGATGGTACAGATGCATCATTACTAGGTAGCGATGATGATGCGGTGAAGTTGGCAACAATTTATTTTGTTGAATCTGTTTTGATGGGGAAGCGAAAGAATCGGAATGTGTCCGAGCAACTAATGAAAATTGTAGATGACAATGAACTCTGCTCTTCTTTCAACTGGGGCTCTCTTTATTATGAAACTTTAGTAAAATCTTTGAAGAGTTGTTTGAAGCCCAATGAGAGTGAGAAAAAGAAAGATAAAGATAAGGACAGTTATACTATACTTGACTTCCCTTTCGCTTTTTGTGTTTGGATTATGGAAGTATTCTCAATTTTCCAAAAAAAACAAATTGTGAACTTCACAGAATGTGGGTATCCTCGGATATTATGTTATTCAAATATGAAATCTCCACAATATGATTCTTTGTGTAAAAAATACTTCCATAATGAAAATATAAGTTAATCTGATTACTAGCTATTTCTGTTGTTTATGTGTTTTAGTTCTGAATACTTACATTTTTTTTCTTATATAATAGTTGTATAAGTTGATCGAAGTGACACCATTTATTCCTATTGAAGAAGATGCGGAGCCTGTTAGTGTGCATGAGCCATTGTCTTAAGATCAAAGTTTAATGCCTTCCTCCGCACAATTTGATGAAGCCTTGCTTAAGGAAATTGTTAAAGTAGGTTTTCTCTTTGAATAGCATTAGTTTTTTATTTGATTATTTTTGCTTAAGAGACTTTTTTATTTTTATGGTTTTTGATTCAGAGATTATCGGAGAAGTTTAAAAAGGATATGCAAGCAGAAGTTACTAGAATAAATCAAATAATAGTTGTATCAGAAAAAAGATTCGAAATGACATCAAGGTAATATCATTTATTTTAGTGCTTATAATTCTAAGTTAAGGACACCATGTCCTTAACTTTTGAGTTTTTTAGTCTAAGTTCAGGACCAAGTGTGCTTAACTTTTGAACTTGAAATTTGAAGTTCAGGACCAAGTGTCCTTAACTTTTGAACTTGGAACTCAAAGTTAAGGACCAAGTGTTCTTAACTTTTGAAATTGGAACTCAAAGTTAAGGACCAAGTGTCCTTAACTTTTGAACATGCAACTTAAAGTTCAGGACCAAGTGTCCTTAACTTTTGAACTTGTAACTTGAAGTTTAGGACTACATGTCCTTAACTTTTTAATTTAATTTCTTTCACATGATTTAAAGAAAGACCTAGGATCAAAGATTGATACTCTGTTGAAGATTCTTGTCAAACCTGATGAAAGGAACATAGAGAGAGAATCTATTGTTCCGAATAGTAAAGATGTAGTTGATGATCATTGTGATGGTACAGAACCTACTGTTCCAATTAACAAAGATGTAGGTGATGGTCAATGTGATGATACAGATGTGCATGCAGAAGATCATTATGAAAACGATTATAGAGATGCGCATCTAAAAGATGAAACTGATATTGGCACTGAAATTGGGAAAGGTTAGATATAAATTTGTTGTCATTAAAATTTATATTCAATAGCGTAATATATATACACTTATTTGTGATTACAAATATATGTAGAATCTAATGATGGAGTGAAAGTTCAAGATGGAGTGGAAGTTCAAGATGTAGTAGAATGTCAAGATCAGGGAAATTCAAAAGAGACAAGAGCATCATAAATAATTTGTAAATGTGGAGCGCAATCTCAGGGTTTAGAAAATCCATTGGGAATAAATGTAAGTGAGATTGTATGCAAATGTGTTGAAGGATTATATGATCTCTCTACACCTCTCTCACTTAAAGAGAAATTTGGAATTCAAAATGATGCCAATCAAGGTTAGATGGAATTTTCATGATATGTTGAATGTTAGTTTTAGTAAACTATTAGTAAAGGGAATTAATTATAAATGTTATAGAATCTTTTGAAGCTGCAAGGGAAGAAGATGGAGTGGACTATCAAGAGACAAGTGGAGGACAATCTCAAGACTTAGAAAATACCCAAGGAACAAGCATAAGTGAGATTATTTGCAAATGTATAGAAGGAACATATGATCTCTCTACACCTCGTTGTCTTACCGACAATATTGGAAGACAAGAAATGCTACTGAAAATAATGATTTAACTGGCATGATCTTGACAATTGCAAAAGGTTAGACGGAGTTTTTTTTTAATTTTATACATGTTTGCTTTAATCAAAGATTAGTAACAAGTACTAATTGTGTTAGCTCTTGTAAATATTTTGCATAATCTTGTGAACTTGCAATCGAAGATCATGGAGAACAGTTGCAAGATAAAGAAAATGCAAAGTTGCAAGATGAAGAAAATGCAACCAATATGTCAGGTCAATTGTCTGTTGAAGAAGTACAAGAAGGCAGGGTAGACAACACAAGTATTGATTGTGTCCTAAATATTATATCCATAATTAAAATTGCCAGTACATTTCAAAAATTATGTCCTTAATTTTTGTCTCTTCATTTGAAAATTCGTTCTAGAATTGACAACTTGCAGCAAACTAATGTATACAGTGGTGTCTACAGAGCAAAACAAAAATAAAGCCTCTAACCATTATACTAGAAAAAGGAAGAGAGATAGTATTGGTTTTGATGGTCCATCATTTTCTATTCTTACTCCTACTCCTCCAACTACACAAATGAGCAATGATGAGTGTTTGTCTATGGAGGTTGAAGGAAATGTTGAAGAAGATATTGGTTGAGGGAAAAGGAATAAGAAGCTTAGTTGGCAATTGAAATCTCCTTTTGAACAAGAAAAAAAACAGGAACATCGATGGCGCACAATGAAAATACTCCCAAGAATACGGGCTGGATTAAATCAAAATATACTCGTACATGTATTTTTCATTATGCCAAAGATGATGCAAACTTATTGAAGACATTCATTGGGTAGTTGGGCAAGGAGAAAAGGAAAGGTCGCAAAAAAGCGTAAGCCCCTAAATGTATTTCATTATTTGTTAATTGCTTAAATTCGTGTCCTAAACTTATAATTTTAAATTCCTAAAGTTAAGTGTCCTTAACATTTAAGATTGCAAGTCTAAGTTCAGGACCAAGTGTCCTTAACTTTTGAACTTGTAAATGTAAGTTCATGACCAAATATCTTAACTTTTGAATACTCCAAGTGTTTCCCCTTGAATCCCTCTTCAATCCTCTTCAAAAAGCTCCCAAATCGATCAAAAATGGTGGAAGTTAACCCCAAAATCGCAGACAAGATGACTATTTAAACATTCTGCCTAGGCCTCAATTCCTTCTTCGCGAACGCGGTCAACGCCTCGAGTTCGCGAAGCACAATCCAACTTTGACCAAATTTCCTCTTACGCGAACGTGACCAGACCCTCGCGAACGTGATAGTTCCTCAGCCCAACCTTTGCGAACACGCTCCCTCTCTCGCGAACGCGATGAACAAACTCAACCTGAACCCCAGCTACTCAACTTCCTCTACGCGAACGCGGCACAGCCTCGCGAACGCGATGCATAACATTCCAGCCCTTCGCGAACGCGGAGCCTTCCTCGCGAACGCGAAGGCTAAATCCTCAGCCTCACCAACTAACCCTTCGTGAACACGAGGGCCTACTCGCGAACGCGAAGGCCATTTTTTGCAACACTGAACGGCAGTTTTCTGCAACTCTCAATATCTAGGAATGATCCGATTGACCACCCGAAACTCACCCGAGGCCCCTGGAACCTCAACCAAACATGCCAACATATCCCATAACATCATTCAAACTTGTTTCAACCTTCGAAACGCTCAAAACAACATCAAAACACCAAATTCGCATCGGATTCAAGCCTAAGAATTCCAAAATCTTCAAAATTCCGCTTTTGATCAAAAACCCAACCAAACCACGTTCGAATGACCTGAAATTTTGCACACACAACACAAATTACACAACGGAACTGCTAAAACTCCCAGAATTCCATTCCGACCCCTATATCAAAATCTCACCTATCAACCGGAAAATGCCAAAAATCCAATTTCGCCAATTCAAGCCTAAATCTACTCCAAACCTCCAAAACACATTCCGATCACACTCCTAAGTCCCAAATCACCTCCTGGAACTATCTGAACTATCAAAATTCACATCCGATCCCTCTAACACATAAGTCAATATCCGGTTGACTTTTCCAACTTAAGCTTCCTCAAAAGAGACTAAGTATCTCAAACCTTCTCGAAACCTTTTCGAACCCGAGACAACCAACCCGATCACATATAGAACCGATAAACAAAGCAATAAGAATTAGAAATGGGGGAAATGGAGTGGTAACTCATGAGATAACTATCCAGGTCATCATACACAGCTATGCCAAATTACAATTTCAGAAGTAATATGAAGGCATCATGCTATTAATTTCTTTGTTTTTGTAAAGTATTGATTTGTCCATTTGCAATCCCTAAATTAAGTGTATTGAGCTTGTAAGTATTAGTTGAGGACCAAGTGTCCTTAACTTTTGAACTTGGAAATCGAAGTTCAGGACCAGATGTCCTTAAATTTTGAACTTGAAACTTGAAGTTCAAGACCAGATGTCCTTAACTTTTGAACATGGAATTCAAAGTTAGGGACCAAGTGTCCTTAACTTTTGAACTTGGAACTCTAAGTTAAGGACCAAGTGTCCTTAACTTTTGAACTTGGAACTCAAAAGAAACAAAAAGCATGTAAGCGTAAAGAAACTTTGAATATTCAGGACATTTGCTCAAATAAAAATAATCTAAATGAATCCAATTTATAGCAAAAACATAAAAGAGTATATAAAGATAAGTGTATATATATACTATTCTCTATGCTCCCTTGAGAATGGATGGACTGCCGGAGAATATATACAAGGTGTTCTATTATGACCAATTCTTCTGCAACGACCACATTTGAATGTTATTTTTTATGACTCGGTAGCTAGAATATGCCTTTTCGTCTGCCTTCTACCTGGTGGCACTTTGAAATCTGGAGGTTTAATAATTTGTGACTTAATACTCTCTGGTACAATCCAAGAATCAGTATGCCCTACAAGATGTATTTGTCTTTCATATGTTTTCAGCCAAGATTCCTTTAAGTACCAGTGCGAGCAAAAGTTTGACTTCTTGATGTTTCTCTTCTTGATAGCTACAATTGCATGTATGCATGGTAATTCATCCAATTAAAACTGAAAACAATCACATGTTCTTTTGTTTAAGTCCACCAAGAAAGTAATTCCTTCCTCCTCAACTCTAGAACGCCATGAATCAATGGGGAAGACCTTCAATGTTGAAAAATTATAAGTTAGTACATTATGTTAAATTATTATTAAAATAATAAGCTAAACAAAGAACATAATACTTACATCCAAAGTAAATGCTAAATCTATCTTTTTCTTCAATTCCTCTTCTACCCAACAAGAAACGTCATAAAAAGTTCCTTCTGCTTCATTTCTTCTTTCATAAAACCAATGTTGTAGCTTCACTTGGATGAAATCCATCATTCTTAATATAGGCAGATCCCTTGCTTCTAATAGCACAGAATTCATTAACTCAACTATGTATGTTGTGAGCATGTCATATCTTCGTCGTGGACTACAAGAACGTGCCCACCTTTCCGGTGGTTCTTCCATCAAGTAGTCATAAGTCTTCTTATCTACTTTTATTATATCTGACATGTATAGATCAAATTATTTGCGCATGTATACTCTTGCAACACTTTGGAAAAGTTTTATGACCTCACTTTTCACTTTCCTTCGCTTTAGGTTCTACTCCAAATGATAGATACAAATCCCATGGTGGCTTTCAGGATACCTTTGCAATGACATATACAATAGCTTGATGCCTGTCTGATAAAAAAAAATAAATTCTCACGACTCCCAATTGCATTTCGAAGCTCACTAAAGTACCGCTCATAGGAATTGTCATTTTCAGATTCTGCAATTCCAAAAGCTAGTGGGAAATTTTGGTTAGTTGCATCCTTTGAAACTGAAATCATTCAAACACCACGAAATTTTGACTTCAAAAAAGTTGCATCAACAGCAACCACTGGTCTACAATGATTCCAACCAGTTATTGATGATCCATATGCATAAAATATATAAAGAAACTTGAAAATATAGTATAACAAAAGTTAAGGACATGGAGTCCTGAACTTAGAGTTACAAGTACAAAAGTTAAGGATAGGCAGTCCTTAATTTTTTAACTTGCAACTCTAAGTTAAGGACCAAGTGTCCTTAACTTTTTGACTGCACACATCAAAGTTAAAGACATCACGTCCTTCACTTTTTCACTGGTTAAGGACAGCATGTCCTAACTTTTTGATTGTTTACATGTTGTTGTCATCTATCTTTATGTTAGTATATGTTCCGGGGTTTTTACTTTTCATCATATACAAGTATGAAGACAATAATTCATAATTCTCTTCAGGAGTTCCTCTTATTAAAGCTGAAGCACGTTGAATAGCACGCCACGCCTTGTGATACCCAATGTCTAATCCATATAATTTTTGCATTTCTGCCATGACAAAAGCTGGTGTAACTTCAAAACTTGGGTCTTGAAGATTGTCAATAAATGTAACCACTAATCAACTTTGAAGTTGCATGCCTTTGATCAGCTTTCATAGTGTTAACTGAGCAGTCATGATTTTTCTCAATCTTTACTATCTTGAACAGTGTTGAATCTTTAACTCTGAAAGCACGCACACACCACCCACACCTATCATCATTGCATTTCAATGAATATCTCATTGAGCTTGATCTAACAACCTTGAATTCAAAATGTCCTTTAATTGCTATATTCGAAAAACAGTTAATTGTACTCTTCTTTTTGTCAAATATTGATCCCACTTTTATTTCATCCAATGAAGCATTTTCTCTTAATATCGTAGTTGGGGATTCTTTTTGTTTCAAATTTGAGCTTCGTCTAGTTAGTTGAGTAGAGGTTTTTTCAGCAACTTCTTCTATTACTTGTGCACTCTCTAAGACATGAATACCCAAAGCTTGTTCGTTGTCAATCTCTATAATGCTTTGTCCTTCCACTTGAATAGAATCAAATGTTTGAAGCACCTCTTTAGTTATTGGTTCAGCTTCAACCACATATATTTCCATTATCTGTTGGCATTTATTTTTATTGTCATGTTGATTTTCTCTGTTGACATGTTCAAAGGTGCTTGTAGATCCAAAA